TTTTTTTTTTTTTTAAGGTTTTTGCCATAGGGTGCATGCACTCGCTGGAGAAAGCCAGAGAGAGACACTGAGAGGTAAACTGAGAAATCGTCACTGCAGTCGGCCATGTGGGAATCCAGCACCTTAACCACCAGGCCACCTGTTGGCCTCAAGTGTTTATTGTTTTAAACTACCATGATTTGGGATAATTTGTTATACAGCAAGAGACATCTAATACAGTCACATATTTTTATTTCTGGTGTGTTTTCTTCCTTTATGTAGATCTAGATTTCTATCGGGTATGATTTTCCTTTTGCCTAAAGTACTCCCTTTAACCTTTCTTTCAGTGCTATTTGCTGGTGATGTATCTTTTCAGCTTCTTTTAATGTCTGAAAGTCTAAGTCTTCTTCATGTTCTTTAAAAGCATCTTTATTAAAGTGTAATTTGAACACTATAGAATTCAGCCATTAAAAATGTATCATTTCTTGGGACCAGCAGATGGAGTAATGGCTATGTCACTGGACTCCCATGTAGCCAACTGTGGTTCGAGTCTGAGACCTGGTGGCTTAAACTCATGCTGGGCACGTGTGCCTGCATGCCCAAGATCCCGAGAGCAGAATGGATGAGAAGCAATTGTGGCATGGCTATCCCCCCTGGGGGGTGATTTCTCGCTTTCTATCTCTCTGTCTCTCTCTGTCTTTTTGGTGAGCGCACATGCCCTATAACAAGAACCTCTAAAAAAAAATGTGTCATTTCAGTGATTTAGTAAATTAGTAGAGTTGTGCATCTATCATCACCACAATCCAGTGTTATAACATTTCCATCTCCAAAAAATTTCATGATTTAATAGTTAATAGTTCATCTCCACTCCCTCCATAACCCAAGCGACCACTTAATTTGCTTCCTGTGTCTTTACATTTGCTTTTTCTAGATATTTTATATCAATTGAATCATATATGTATTGTTTCTTGCTTCTGTCTTCTTTCACTTAGCATCATGTTTTTGAGGTTCATTCATATATGTACCAGTAGTTATCAGTTTTAATATATGGTTCTACTACATTTCGTTCATTCGGGAATGCGGATGTTGTAAATAATACTGCTATGAACATCCGCACACGTGTCTTTGTGTGGACACATGTTTCCATTTATCACGCATTAATTTATAGAAATTGAGTTGCAGGGCAAGCAGGTGTTGTGGTGGTTGAGGTGCTGGACTCTCACATGACTGACTGTGGTTCGAGTCCCAGATGTGATGGCTTGCTTTCTCACTTTCCTTCTCTCTTAGAGCAGTGTGCACCAGTGTGGCTTGGCCTGAAATAGATTTATAATATCTGTTTTATTGTTCTTATCATCTAATTCTATCATCTGCGTCATGGTTCCGTTTCTATTGATTGGTTTTTCTCCTCATTATGAGTCATAATTTCCTGCTTCTTCGTATGTCTGGTGCGTTTGATTTGATACTAATATTGTGAACTTTACATTTTGGGTATTAAGCTTTCTAATTCCTTAATTGTTCTGAGCTTTGTTCCAGGATGCAATTAATTTACTTGGAAACAGTTTGATGCCATGGAAGTTGCTTTGAAGCTTTGGGAGTAGTCTCTTCTAGGACTGATTTGAATCCATTATGAGGGAATATCCTTCTGGATATTCTCCCCTTGCTCAATATAGTATGTGGTTTCTTCATTCTGGTTGTTGGGAATACAGATCATTTCCAACTTGGTATGAGTTTCAAGAATTGTCCCCCTTGTTGCTCTCAAGTGCTCTTTCTCTAGCCTCTAGTAGCTTCCTCATGTATACTCAGGTCATCAGTACTCAGGTCAAATTTTAAAGGGAATCCTCTACCGATTTGCAGAGTTCTCTCTCTGCCATTGTCTTCTCTCTGGTACTCTGCCCTGTGAACTCTAGGCATCTTGTCCTCCCTGAATGACCAGCTCTGTTTGCACAACTCAGAGACTCCGCCAGCTCCCCCTAGATTGCCCCTCTGCACTACAGCCTGGAAACCTAGACAGTCAGCTGTGCAGTAGCAGGACTCATCTTATTTTCCCCACCTATTTCAGGGATTAGCGTCCTGTACAGCCTATTGTCCAGCATCTGAAACAATTATTTTATGTATTTGGTCTGGTTTTATCACTGTTTTAGACAGGAGGTTAAATCCAGTGCCTATAACTCCATCTTGGTGAGAAGTCAAAGTCCTCTTGTCCAGTAACCTCCTAACATTTGCCTAGGTAGTCATTATTCAAATTTGGTGCACACTCACTGTAGTGGTCTGGGAACGTTGAGATAACAACTATAAAAAAGAATATAAACTTTCCCTATAGTAATAACTCTGATTACTATTGTATATATTTCATATTTTCTTCTAGTCTTCAATCTTTTGATTTTACATGGTGTCTTACATCAGTCTTCTGCTTACTTGACCTCTTTTTCATCTCTGCACTAATGATCACTGCTTCATTCCTAAAATTTTGTACAGGTTAACTTCCATGAGATACTTCTCTCTTGGTTTGATTCTAGCCCTTCCAAACCCTAAGAATCCTCTCACGATCTCCTTCACAAATTCCTCTTTTTCCACGTACACTTAAATTGTGGACTTCTTTCTCATTTCTCTTCTCATTCGACAACTACACTTGCCCTTGGTGATCTCTTCTATCACCCAGACTTCAGCGATGATCCTTCTGCTTGTGACTAACAAAATCATAGTCCAGATTTCCCCAGTTCTCCAGACCCATATAGCCAATGGCCTAATGTGCATTTCTACTTGGAAGTCTCACATAGGGTCATAAGCAGATTTAATATCTTCCTCCTAAGCTGCATCATGGTTTTTCAAGATGGAGTGATAAGCATGACCATTCACTTTCTTTCCTGAGCTGGAAACACAGAAGCCGTACTCAACTGTTCCTTCTTTTTTCTTCTTAAATCCCACACATTTAGGGGAAACCTAATTCTTACCTAGATAGATAGACATAAATGGATCTTTTCTTCAAAACCATGCTTTAGTTCCCCCACTTTCCTATTGTTCACACCTTTATTTCTTTCACTGGAACTATGGTAACATCTTCTTTTTTTTTTTGAGAGGTTTTTGCTATAGGGCGTGTACGCTCACCAAAAAGACAGAGAGACAGAAATCGAGAAATCACCCCCGAGGGAGGATGACCATACCGCAATCCGTTTCCCTCCATTCTCCTCTTGGGATCTTGGGCACACATGCACACACACCCAGCATGAGTTTAAGCCACCAGGTCCAGGACTCAAACCATGGTCGACTACATGGGAGTCCAGTGACATAACCATTATGCCAACTGCTGGTCCCAGTACCATCTTCTTATTTAGTCTCTGGATAAGTACTGGATGCATTGCAGTCTTTGAAACACATCAGTTAGATCATATCACTCACTTGTTTAAAGACTCCCATGGGCCCAGCCTTGGTGGTATAGTTAGTAGCATACTGGACTATAGTGCTGGAAGTCACATGGTTGGCCATGTTTTAGATCCCAGGGGCAGCCTAAAAACATAGCAGGTGAGAGTTCAGTCAGCCAAGATCCTGAGGAGCCCGAGGGCTGGGGAGAGAGGGTTGTGGCCTGACAAGACCCTGTTGAAATTGCTTCTTTCTCTCTCTCTCCCTCTCAATGCTCTTCATCAAGAAACAAACAAACAAACAAACAAACAAACAAACAAACAAACAAACAAACAAACAAACAAACAAACAAACAAACAAACAAACAAACAAACAAACAAACAAACAAACAAACAAACAAACAAACAAACAAACAAACAAACAAACTCCTATGGCTCCCTATCAGTTATAGGACAGAATCCAAAACCTTTTGCTTAGTATGCACGGACAGTTCGCCTCCAGACTCCCTTTTTAGCCTTACTTCCTGCTCCTCCTACATGTATTGTTCCCTAGAACAGCATCCCCCGCCTTTGGGCATGTTCTTATTTCTGCCTAGAAAGTCCCTCCTCCTGTTTCTCTGTTTAACAAATGCCTTCTCTTGTTTCAATATATAGCTTCATACAGCTTCAATGTCCACTTCTTCAGTAAATTCTTTCTTACAACTCTCAAGAAGTGCACCCCTCCTTCTCATGCTCTGGCAATTCCTTCAGCCAACTGTTGCCACACTTGTCATGGTGGCCTGTAGTTTTGCATTTGAATCTGTTTCTCTCACTAGACTATGTACTCTTCCAAGACACATCTATTTCCCATGATCTCATCTTTGCCCCGTGACTTCGGTTATCATCTATCTGCTGTGGCCATCAGTTTCCTCTGTGTATTTATCCCTCAACCAAGACTCAGTATAGTAGATGCTCAATAAATGTTGGTATAACCCTTGGTCTCCCAACCTGAGGTCCATGGATAGGTTTTGGAGGGCGCTTTGGGCTCCATGCTCATCAAATGATATGTCCTGAGAATATTTTCCTGGAAAGGTCTATTCTAGTCACCATATTTCAGAGGAGTCCTAGAATCACAAATAATTAAGCACCCCACCTTAGAAAATACTGTAGCCGAGAAGTTGTTTTTGGAAACCTGAAGGTCATTCAGAATCCTAACTTCATAATGGGAATGGGATGACTTGCTGCTGCTGCTGCCTCTGCTGTTAGGGCTATGAAAAGGAGAGAGGGGGCCAAGCAGCATGCAGACACCGCAAACACAAACGCTCTAAGGGCCCCTTTTCTCTCCCTCTCCCTTCCTCTGCCTCTCTCCCACTCACTGTCTTTCTTCTATGCTCTTGAGTATGTCTGTCAGAATGAATGCAAACTCGAAACTTACACACACATGTCCCTCTGCAGACACACAGCCAGGCATGCACATCCACATTCATCCACATGCACCCAGATGAATGTGCACAAACCAGCCACATACAAATGCGTACCGAGTCACCCACAGCCTCGTTCTATATGTCCTCATACACATGCACACATCCGGGCATGTGACACGCACACGACCTGGCTCCTGCCCCTCCCTCCTGCAGAGAGCGAGCAAGCACTGCCTCTGGCCTCAGGCCCGCAGAGACAGCCGAGTGGAGCCATCTGTCAGCTTCAGGTTCCTGAGCACCGCCCATCCCGCCTGAGCTCAGACGGTCGGCATGCCGGGCATGCAGCCTCGCTATTCTCTCCGGCTGAATCATGCTGAGTGAGCTGGCCCGGCCAGAGTTTATCAAATCGGAACAGAATTTTGGCAAAACAGATGACTTGTGAGCTTGGCATTTGCGGGCTTGGGAGGTGGAGACCTGTGAGGGTGGGGGGAGGAAGGAGGGAGGGAAA